GAGCCTGCTTCTCCCTCTGCCTCTGTCTCTCTCTCTGTCTCTCATGAATAAATAAATAAAATCTTTAAAAAAAAAAAAAGAAAGAAAATATGCTTAACTCCATAAAACTGTCTTCTTCCAGAAACCTCCAGCACACATTACACATATGGGCAAAGTGCCATCAGTCTTCTCATTAAAGTCATGAAGAAGTCAAAGGTACCTACAAGTACTGCTACTTTTCAGTATTTACAGATCTTCCTGGCCAATGAAATAAGACCAAGGCGAGGAAGCATCTTGGACTTGGAAAGGTACAGAAAGTAAACCGACAAGTGTGACTATTTATAGACCATATGATCATCAGCCTAGAAAACCCAAGAGGATCAGTAGAAAGACTACTAGAATTAATGAGAGAAGTCAGCGGGGAGGCCAGATAGAGTACCCTTAGCCTTCCTATGCACCAAAATAACTACTTAGAAACTTGAAGTGGGGAAGTATTTACAATGCAAAAACGGATCCATAAAATACTCAGAAATAAACCTATCAAAAATGTGCAAGACCTGTTTGAGGAAAGTCTTCAAAATCTACCGAAGAGAGGCTCTCAATGAACACGTATTTCATGTACTGATTGGGAAGACCCAGTGTTGCAAAGATGTTGGAAAAGTAGTCCCTTGAAACCCGCTGATGTTACCATGTCACAGTCCTTCCTTCTGGGAAGCTATTGGGATTTTTTTTTCTTGTGAAAGAGACCAGTTGCATCAGTAGCTCTTAGAAAATAATTGCTTGGGGCATCTCCTGCTCCTGGCACCTTCGTTTGGAGGCTGTGCTGGCTCATCCTTGCCCCTCAGTGTCCTGAATGAAGGGAAACCATCGTGTCTCTGCTGCAATGGCGCAGATGCCTGGAGGAGCCCCAGGTTTCCACCCCAGGGGCATTAAAGGGGGCTTGTCTCCCCACGGCATGAGCTGGACAGATGTCTGTCTCCACCCTTTGAACAAGTGAGCCGCCTCAGTGCGGGCATCCTGGACTGCTCCGGCTGGGCACTGTGGACCGGAGTTGTGAGCATTGTTCCGGCTGTGGAGGAAAGGACGCTAAACACTTGACTGCGTCTCTCTTGCACTCTTGGAGCTACATCCTGGATAAAGGGCTACTCCAGAGGATTCATCCTGATTTGGCAGGTACTCAAACGGATGTCATTTCTCATAAACAGACCTATAAATTCAATGTGGTCCTACTCGAAATCCCAGCGTGGTATTTCTGGACCTAGAAAAGCTGATTCCAAAATTTAACTGGAGGAGAAAACAGACATGAACGGCCAAAAACAATTCTTTTTTAAAACTTGTGAAGAGAACTTCACCTACCCAATATAAAAACATATACTAAAACTATAATCATTAAAACAAAGTCCAGGGGCACCTGGGTGGCTCAGTTACATGTCTGCCTTCGGCTCAGGTCATGATCCTAGGGTCCTGGGATCAACTCCCACATCGGGCTCCCTGCTCAACAAGGAGCCTGCTTCTCCCTCTGCCTGCCGCTCCCCCCCACCCCCACCCCTGCTCGTGCTCTCTATCTCTCCCTCTGACAAATAAAATCTTTCAAAAAGTCCAATAGAATATAAGAATTGGCAATAGTAGGAAGAGCTAAATCTACTGCTGGAATAGAAGAACACATCCAGAATTTAATCCCAAAGTCCTATTTAAGGTTCTTTAATGTAGCTTTGGTATTTTTTGCTTTTACTTCATCAACATTTGAATCACAGCATCAAATAGAAAAGTGCACTCGGCAATTTCTTGTTCTTACGTTGCTTTTATGCTTCTCTCCTTTAGCCATTCTCATGGTCTTCAGAAAAAGGGGAGGTTGAAGGGCGTAGACCTTGTTTGCAATGGCTTGCGGTCCACTGGGACAGGCCAAGGGGACTGTCTCTGCAGATGGCAGGACAGGTCAGAGCAGGCCAGGGTCCCCAGCCCTCCCTTGCTTCCTGGGAATAATTGAGCAACACTAAGTAGCAGGTGGGGGTCTGGGTGCTTTGCACATATTGGAGCAGCATAACTTCTTCAAGGTTTCACAGCTAGTTAAGACTTGGACCTGTTAGTTAGTGGGGTCTCAGAACCCGACAGCCTCCCAGGACTTCTGTCCTCCTTCTTGGGACGTTTCCTCTTACTGCCTTGTTAACATGCCTGCCATGTTGGCCTGGCTTCCTCCCACATGTATGCTCTGGCCCACAGTGCTCACACAGTCATGCCTTGTGGGCATCCCTAACTCAACTGTCACCTGGGACTGCTCCCTGGCAGTTCAGCCCAGAGGGGACATCAGGGCTGCAAAATGCCCTCATCGTAGCTGTCACCGCCATGGCTTCCCATAGGTGATGTCAGTGTTTGTCTGAGTCCTCTCCTGACCTGGAAGCGCCTTAGAGCAGGGACTCCGCCATTCGTCCTTTTATTCACAGTGATTGGCAGATGCTAGACAGGAAACGTTGGCTCTAGAAAGGGATGATAAGCACCAAATTTTGCCAGAATTCTCAGAAATGACCTGGAGAGAGTCATAATTGCATCTGTTCAGCGCGCTGTCCAGACAACTGACTCTCTGGCCTTGTGTGGTGGTAACTGGCCCCCCTTTTGCTTGCACGGTTGCAGCCCATGCGATCTGAGCGGACGGAGATGCGGAAACGGCAGATGCCTGCAGCCCAGGAGACCACGGACTCCACGCCAGGCCAGCCCGGGGCGGGGGACCGCGGGTCCAACACCTGCTGCTTCTGCTGGTGCTGCTGCTGCAGCTGTTCCTGGTAAGGTCGGGCCTTTTCCGTCATGCCCTCCTGACGGGCACATGGGTGTCCCTGAGTAGTGCCAGCTTATGATTAACTCTCTAGGCAATTTTGGTGTTATTTTTTTAATATTTATTTGAGAGAGGGAGCGAGCACGAGTGGGAGGGGCAGAGGGAGAGGGAGAGAGAATCTCAAGCAGACTCCATACTAAGTGTGGAGTCCAATGTGGGGCTCAGACTCACGACCCTGAGATCATGACCTGAGCCGAAAGCACGAGTTGGACGCTTAACTGACTGAGCCACCCAGGTGCTCCCATACATGTTTTGAAACAACTACTATATGCCTGACACTGATTTGGGATCTGTGAAGGACAACAACAAACACACACATACACACACACACACACACACAAAGGGGCTCTGTATTCCAGCTCAAGGGATTTCTATTCAAATCCCTGAAATCAGGTTAGTGTGTTAAACAACTAAAGAATAGTCTAAGGCCGCTGGTGATCAAATATTAATATTTGGGCAGAAACAATAACTAGATGGTTAGAAAGGAGTGAACTCAAGGCAATCTACTTGGTAATAAAGGCTTTGTAGAGGAGTTAGAATTTAAGGTGGGTCTTAAAGGTTAAGGTTAAGTAGAGGGTGCCTGGATTTTATCTTCTGCTTTTCTTTCATGAATGTCATGTTTTCATAAAGAGAAATGTCAAAATATATGCTTAACAAAAGAATATAAAAATGTAGGCTAACTTACTGGTACAGTAAGATACACAATCTTTGCTTCAAAAGAGAGATACACAACTTGAATGGAAAATATCCTTGACCATTTGAGTCACTGTCAAAGGTCTGGAGAAATTGTATAGAGTTTACACCTAGAAATCATAGGAACGTTAGGTGGCATTTCTGAAATCTTGGCTACAAGAAGTGCTTATGCCCACTAAATGTGTGCCTAACTGTAGGCAACTAAATTATTGTATGTTTATGTAGTCTTGACCACAAGTTGGACCAAGCCCTCACTCCCCAGAAGAGAACATGACCAAGTGATAGCACAGCTATCAAAAACAGTGACAGGACTGTTAGAATTGGGGTGAAGCAGGTGGAGGCTGATATTAAATGTCCAGGAAAATTTGGTCTCTTGCTTGATTTGAGCTAGTGTTAACTTCCAAGAAGTTCCCATCCGGTGGATGGGACCCAGCAATACCACACTCTGAGGCCTGCTGGAGTCATGATGGTGGGTGCTTGGCCTGTTCAAAGCAAAACCCCAGACGGAAAGTGGGAATATGAGGGACGTGGGAGCCAAGCAGTCTGGCGCTCCCGCAAGGCTTCAGCCCCAAGTAGGCATCTAAAGGACTCGGCAGGAAACCGGAGGAGAGGCCCATGTTTGCACACCGTACACACGTGGGTGTCCAGGACCCTCCCTAGACCGGGAGGATACTCACCAGCGGTGACGGGGTTTCATTTCAGCCCCTCTTCCAGTCTTTCACTCCACTAATCAGTTTCAGTGAGGTAATTAGAGATGATTGTGTGAGAGTTGGGCAGAGATATCCTGGTGCGGGGAGACTCCTGTTGACCCCGTCACCCTCCCTTCTCTGTTGCCTCAGAGGGACACAGGAGGCCGAGATGGTGGCCTGAACAATGTACAGCACTGATGGCATGAGTGAGCATAGCAGATGGTGGCCTGCCGTTTCCAGAGCAGGCTCCTTCTATTGGCACCAGCTAGGGTGAATAAATTACGGAGCTGTGCTTAGACATCATCATCATCATAGCCAACACTCCTGCAGCACATATTGTGTGTGTACTTAACAGACAATAGAGCAATGAGAAACAGTGTTGAATTGTTACATTGTACACTGAAACTCATACAACACTGTATGTTCATTATGCTTCAATTAAAAGAATACAATAGAGAAATGTCTTCAAAGAACTGGAGAAAAGTAATGGAAACTTAGTCAAACTATAATTCAAGAGTGGGGGGTAAAACAAGACATTTTCAGACATACAAAGGCCAAGAGAGCTAACGGTCTTCAGACCTACCCTAAAAGAACAAGAAAGGGTGTACTTCAGGAAGAAAAAGTGAACCCAGAGGACACGTCATGGGAAACAAGTAACAATCATGGACACAAACTGATCAAATATAAAACATATTTAATTTTAAAAAGAATCCAACATTGTAACCAAATGAGGTAACTTCAGACTTCCTTAGGGAAAAAAATTACATTTTCTTTCCAAATTAATGGTATTCTTGATTAGTCAGAAGTATAACAGACAGTTTCCACATCGATGGAAGACAGTAAAAGAAATATAGAGAACTAAAAAAAAGAAAGAAAGAAATATAGAGAACTATCAATATAGGACAAAAGTGATTTTAACAAAAGAGAGAATGAACTATTTTATAAATACCAAGATACTTGGTATTAGGGTGACCAGCTCATCCCAGCTGCCTGGGACTGTCTTGGTTTTAGCACTGAAAAGTCCTATGCCCCAGAAAGCCCATGAGTTCCGGGCAAACCAGGAAAATTGGTCACCCTACCTGGTATCCAAATCCACAAAAATACTTCTATTCCTATATTGCAGCTCATGCAAAACCCAATCTCTCCCTACAAAAAAAAAACCCAAAAAACAAAAAAAAAACAAGATAATTCCAGATGGTTTAAAGCCCTAAATGTGGGTAAGCCAAGAATAAAATACAGGATATATCTTTCTGATCTTGGTATTGGGAAGAACTACTTTTTAAAAAGATTCATAAATCTGACTGAATTAAAATATAAAAATGTGTCTAACGAGAAATAGAAACATATTCTACATAAAGACTTATACATGAATATTTATAGCAGTGTGATTAATACTAGCCAAAAAGTAGAAGCAACCCAAATGTCTATCAACTAATGAATGGAAAAACAAAATGTGGTATATCCATACAGTGGAATATGATTTGACCATAAAAGGTGTGAAGTATTGAAACTGCTAAAACATAGATGAACTTTGAAAAGATGATGCTAAGTGAAAGGAGACAGACACCAAAGAACATATACTGTATGATTCCATTTATGTGAAATGTCTAGAACAGATAAATTCACAGAGACAGAAAGTAGATTAGCAGTTCCCTAGGCCTAGGGGAAATGGGTGCTGATGTGTACAGTTTCATTTTGCAGTGATAAACTGTTCTAAAATCATGGTGATGGTTGCACAATTGTATGAATAAACTAAAACCGTTGACTTGTACCATTTAATTTGTGAGTTTATGGCGTGCAAATTATATCTGAATAAAACTTTTTAAAATGTGTTTAACAAAAGATCAGAAATAAAATGAACAGATAGAACATACTGGGAGAAGATAGTTACAAGGCATGTAGCAAACAACATAAACCTAGAACATATAAAAAAAGAACTTATAAGAATATAATAACCAAAAGAAAAATAAACAAATGAAATGAAACAAAACATAATCCACTTGTGCTCCTACCAACAAGGATCGGATATGTGAAAGCTAAATATATAGCCTTCTAAATATAATACTCTACCCTAAAAAAACCTCTTGCACATAGGCAAAAAGAGACCTGTATGAGAGGATTCACTGAAGCATTAATCTGATTGAGAAAAATTGAAATATCTCTAAAGTTCATGAACAGAGAATGGATAAATATATTGCAGTGTAGTTATACAATGCAATACCACACAGCATTTAAATGCATGTGCTGGAGGGAAAAAAAAATTGTGGGGCACTTGGGTGGCTCAGTTGGTGAAGCATCTAACTGTTGATTTGGGTTCCGGTCATGGTCTCAGGATTGTGGGATCGAGCCCCAAGTCGGGCTCCATGCTCAGCGTGGAGTCTGCTTGGAATTCTCTCTCCCCTCTCCCCCTCCCCGCCCCTCTGTCTCAAATAAATAAACAAAATCTTAAAAAAAAAAAAAAAAGGTACACAGGGCACCTGGGTGGTTCAGTCGGTTAAGCGTCTGCTTTCAGCTCAGGTCATCATCCCAAGGGTCCTGGGATCGAGTCTCGCTTGGGCTCCTTGCTCCGCAGTGAGCCTGCTTCTCCCTCTGCCTCTCTTTTTCTCTCTTTGTCTGTCTCTCATGAATAAATAAATAAAATCTTTAAAAAAAAAAAAGGTACACAGCAAACTTTAACTGTTTCAATGTTTAACTTCTTTGATTTTTTTTTCTCAGTATGCTTTTGAGACTTATCTGTGTCAATAATACATAGTAGAGGCAATTTTTAAGAAAAGAAAAAGGAAATATGTTTTCTAAGCCCTTGTATTATCTTTCTCAAAATTCTGCTTCATGGTCTTCTGGCATTTTGTTTTATCAAAGAAGTCATGCTGATGCTGAATTTCTTAAAAATAAACTTTTTTTCCTTTGTAAAAGATTGAAGAATTTTTTCCTCTTTGTAGCTCAAAAATTTACCAAAATATGTCTAACCATGGGGCTCCTTTTACTGACTAGCTCTTAAACATGGTGAGCAACTATTTTAGCTTCCAGCAACCTTTTCTTGTTCTACTATAACAATAACAATATACTCAGGTTAAAAAATTGACACAAAATATATTTTTCACTTTTTTAAGAACACATTACCTCATTGAGAAATACTCTTACTTTTAAAAAATAAGACATGGAAAAATGTCAAAGCTTAAATAAAGATTGTATTATTTAATTCACAATGTAATTTCCAGTTCTCTTAGAATCTTGTGTCAAATTCATCCTTTCTTTTTCTCTTTGATTTTTCTTACCCATTGTGTACTGATGTTTTCTGCTTACAAAAGAAGCCTAAGAAGTCAGGCAGTATTAATGCTCCTGCAGCGAGAACACCCTCCAGATGCCTCTTAAGTTATTTTTGTTTCAAGAAACCATTATTTACTGAAACTGGCATCATGAAAGCAACAAGTCAGAAGAGTTCCTGCATTTCTAATGACTTTGCATTAACGAAAAACAGAGCTGCACACACGCACAATTACTGAAAATCCATAAAGCAAACGTGCTATAAAACTAGGCTGAATTACTCTTCTAAAATGGTGGAAAGAGTGGAAAGGAAAGCTATAATAAAAGAAATAGAAGAGTACAGGAGCAATAGATAAAGCAAACTCAAATAACCAATATAAAAAATCCATTTTGAAATCAGTGGGGAACTAAAAGCATTCCTCCTGAAAGCAAGAACAAGGCAAGGATGTCTATGCTTTCCCCTCCTGTGTAACATTGTATTTTAGCTATCAGTTGATGCAGTTGGACAAGAGAAAACAATGTGAGGCCTAAGAATCAGAAGAGAAGTGTTAAGACTCTCCCTATCTGCAGAAGATATGAGAGTATACCTGGAAATCCCAAGAGAATGGTTGCTAAACTAATGCAAACAAAATAATTCAGTAGGAAGAAAGATACAGAATTAGTGTAAAAAAAGAAGAGCCTTCAGAATATAAAGAACTCTTACAATTCAAAAATAAAAAGACAAACCAATTTATAAGTAGGCCAAAGAGGGACGCCTGGATGGCTTAGTCAGTGGAGGATCCAACTCTTGATTTTGGCTCAGGTCATGATCTCAGGGTTGTGAGATCGAGCCCCAAGTTGGGCTCTGCGCTCAGCAGGGAGTCTGCTTAAGATCCTCTTTTCCTCTCCCTCTGTCCCCCGCCCCCACTCTCTCTCTCTAAAATAAATAGATATATCTTTAAAAAAACACACACACATTTAGGGGCACCTGGGTGGCTCAGTCGTTAAGCGTCTGCCTTTGGCACAGGTCATGATCCCAGGGTCCTGGGGTAGAGTCCCGCATTGGGCTCCCTGCTCAGTGGAGAACCTGCTTCTCCCTCTCCTCCCTGCCTGTGTTCTCTCTTGCTATCTCTGTCTCTCTCTTTCTCTCAAATAAAATCTTTTTAAAAAATTTTAAAAAGATATTTAAATAAAAATAAAATAAGTCAAATTAAAAAGTAAAAGTAGGGGGGCACCTGGGTGGCTCTGTCGGTTAAGCATCTGCTTTCGGCTCAGGTCATGGTCCCACGGAGCCTGCTTCTCCTTCACTCTGCCTACCGCTCCCACTGCTTGTGCTTGTGCTCGCTCTCTCTGTCAAATAAATAAAATCATTAAATAAAAAATAAAGTAGGCAAAATATCTGAGTAGACAGGTCTCCAAAGAAGACATACAAAGAGCTAATAAATACATGAAAAAATACTCCATCTCATCAGCCATTAGCAAAATGCAAGTCAAAACCACAATGAGGTAGTACTTCCTACCCCCCGAGATGGTGAGAATAAAAAAGACAGACACTAACAAGTGTTGGCAAGGATGTGGAGAAACGTGAGTCCCTCCAGCATCGCTGGTAGGAGTATAAAACGGTGTGGCTGCTTTGGAAAACAGTTTGCGACTTCCTCAAAATGTTAAAAATAGAGTTACCATAGGAAGGCATTTCCACTCCTAAGTGTCTACCCAAGAGAAATAAAAACAAACATCCACAGACAAAACCTGTACATGAACATGCACTGCAGAATTGTAATAGCCAAAAAGTGCAAATAACTTAGGACACCTGGGTGGCTCAGATGGTTAAGCGTCTGCCTTCAGCTCAGGTCATGATCCCAGGGTGCTGGGATCGAGCCCTGCGTCGGGCTCCCTGCTCAGGGGGGAGCCTGCTTCTCCCTCTGCCTGCCACACCCCCTGCTTGTGCTCTCTCGCTCTCTCTGTCAAATAAATAAAATCTTAAAAAAAAAAACAACTATTAATCTAAATGTAAACTCTCCCTTAACTAGTGTAGACCACAATATTATAATTTGTTTTGCTAATATTTTAGCATCATACTTTTAGTTTTCTTTTTAAGATACTTTTATTTATTTGAGAGTGACTGAGCACGAGTTGGGGGCAGAGGCAGAGAGAGAGGGAGAAGCAGGCTCCCCGCTGAGTAGGCAGCCCAGTGGGGCTCCATCCCAGGACCCCGAGATCATGACCTGAGCTCAAGGCAGATGCTTAACCAACTGAGCCACCCAGGCGCCCCTAATTTTGGTTTTCTTAAGAAAACCAGTCAGGGTCAATGTTTTTCAAGAAAAGAAAGAAATTCTACTTGGTAATTTGGAGTTCCCTTTAAAATATTCCTTGATGCAGAATGATCTCAACTGACACGTAAATGTTTTGTTTCATGCAGTCTTACTGTTAGAAACCAAAAAGAACAGAGACCCAGGAGGCCCTCCCATGAACTCAGACGAGAAGAGCTTCCAACCTGTGAAGAAAGGTAAATCTCGTTGTTTAGCTCACTAAATTGACAGAAATGCCAGCCTTATTGTTTTGATTTTTCATCATTGTAACAGTTTCTCTAACTGCAGTTTAATAATATCAAATCATAATGTGGCACCCCCTTTCCACTCTGTAGAGTTCACTGTGTGACAGGGAGAAAAATTAGTTTCATTATTAATTTCATCCCTGCTAATCACAAACATAAATTGATGCTTCCTGACAAAATATGGTGTTATCCTATTTTCGTATGATAGACTTTTTAAAATAAAAGACCATAATAAAACATACATGTTTGGTTTTCAGAAAGTTTTAAAAGTCCATTTTTTTTCTTAACTATATACTCTAGCTAATGTAGTATTGTCTTAATTTAAGTATTTTTGGAAAAAAAAGTTGGGAAGAAAACACATAAATTACTTTCCATAATGTCAGATTTTAAAATTAATCTCTTTTTGTTCCTGTATTATCAGCTGGCTTACTTTCGCTTACCTATTCTAATATCTTTTCTTGGTATTATATCTATATAATTACAGATACTGGACAAATATCCTAAAAACATTGTTCAAATAGGCCTTGTATTAAACTGCTAATTTTTGAGGGGAAAAAAACAAGTAGCCGAAAAGGTTACTTAAGTGTTTCTTTTTCATTCTTTATCTTATCGATCCTTACCCAGATTTTTCAAAGTCTGGGAAGCATATTAAAATCTTCCACAATTTGGGATGCCTGGCATGCTCGATTGGAGGAGCATGAGACTCTTGATCCTCAGGGTCATGAGTTCAAGCCCCATGTTGGATGTAGAGATTTCTAAAAAAAATAAAAACTTTTAAAAAATCTTCCACAATTTATGAGCTTGTTTAAAATAGCTTTTATCAAGGGGCATCTAGGTGGCTCAGTGGGTTAAGCATCTGCCTTAGGCTCAGGTCATGGTGGGGAGTCTGCTTCTCCCTCTGCTCCTCCCCTAACTCGTGGCTCACTCTTTCTTTCTCTCTCAAATAAATAAATAAATCTCAAATAAAATTAAAAATTAAAAAAAAATTTTTTTAAATAGCTTTTATCTTGAGGCACCTGGCTGGCTCAATTGGAAGAGCATGCAACTCTTGATCTCAAGGTTGTGAGTTCAAGCCCTATGTTGGGTGTAGAGATTACTAAAAAAAATAAATAAAATTTTTTAAAAATGGCTTTTATCTTATATATTCCGGTATATTGTATTCTGTACTAAAGCTTTGAGGCTCTAGTATCTGAAACGAGAACGCCTCATTGAGGCCTGACACTAACCATCCTGCCAGTGGGACCTTGGGCACCCCGGGATCATGACCTGAGCCCACGGCAGACGCTTAACCAACTGAGCCACTCAGGCGCCCCCCAGATTCCCCTTTGTATAAGATTATCAGTCCTAGGGGCGCCTGGGTGGCTCAGTCGTTAAGCTTCTGCCTTCTGCTCAGGTCATGATCTCAGGGTCCTGGGATCAAGCCCCGCATTGGGCTCCCTGCTCAGCGGGGAGTCTGTTTGTCCCTCTCCCACTCGCCCTGCTTGTGTTCCCTCTCTCACTATCTCTCTGTGTCAAAAAATAAATAAAATCTTAAAAAAAAAAAAGAATATCAGTCCTGCTGGATCAGGGCTCATCTTAATCACCTCATCTTAACTTAGTTAAATCTACAAAGACTCTATTTCCAAATCTAGTCACATTCTGAGGTACTAGAGTTAGGACATCAGCATATCTTTTTGGGGGACATTATTCAACTCACAGCACCCTCCTACAAAATAAACACTAGATCCAATGGATTTTACAGTTTGGTTCCACAAAGCAATTCTGGAATTAATCATTCCAAGGTTATATAGGTCGTGTATAACTACCGAAACGTCTAAGAAATCAGTTCAGTAGGGATACCAAAACCAGATGAAGACAGTACAAGAATGGAAAGTTGGAGATAAATCCTGCGTGCTCAGGAACTCTGGCCACATACAGCCACGTGGGTGAATCTTAGACAGTGTTGGGTGATGAAAGCAAGTGGCAGAAGACAACATGGAGTCAGCCATTTTAAAAGTGAAGAAAAAAAAAACACTGAAGGATAGATATTCTTCAGGGATATCTACCTACATAAAAACAATGAAAAGAAAGGTAGGGGGAAGGAAATCATTTAATAGCGATCATTGTTGAACAGACGAAGCTTTCTGACCTCAATATAATTACAATATAAGTAAAAATAAACTAAACCAGGGTGAGTCCAAAGTCAAGCCTAGCAGTCCCTCAGGGTGGGGGAGTCACGAGAGCAGGGTGTGGCCATGGGACCACGGTAGGTGCGGCTGGTGGTGACCAGCTGGTTCTCACGGTGAGTGCTGAACTATAGGGTGTGTTTATTATCACCCTTTATAGCTTGCAGTTATATAACATAATCTTTCCCCTTTCTCTCTAAAATTCTCTTTCAAGTTTTAAAAAACCACGAAAGAGACAGCCGCGTGGCTGCTCTGGAAGGTGGTGTGCTGAGGTCTGATGTACTTCTGTCACAAGTGACTGGGAAGTCTTGGTCAGATGCTTCTAGGATTTTTCTTCACTGTTACAGTTGTAAAGCTTTGCCAGGACTCATTGAGATGTGAACAAGTACGCTCTTGGCAGTTCTTCTAGAGATCGGCCTGCAAGCATTTGGCCAGCAGCCATGCACTCCAGCTAAACAACCTGAAGGGATCCCACTTGTGTGTTTTTGCCAAAGGCCGATGGAAACGGGCACAGCCCTCTCCCTTCCTAAAAGGGCCGAGGTGCACATTTTCATCCTCAGAAGGGAAAAGGGTTTGTTTCTAGTGAGGAAATGCAAAGTAACTACCGATAACCTAGCTCCCTCTCGCCCCTTCCTTTCCGTCTCCACTCAGCCCAAGTCCCACTCTGGAGGAGGTCAACGCCTGGGCTCAGTCCTTCGACAAGGTAATGCTTACTCCAGCGGGAAGGAATGCTTTCCGGGAATTCCTCCGGACAGAATTCAGTGAAGAAAATATGCTTTTCTGGATGGCATGTGAGGAACTGAAAAAAGAAGCTAATAAAACCATCATTGAAGAGAAAGCAAGGATAATCTATGAAGACTACATTTCTATTCTTTCTCCTAAAGAGGTACGTACCCCGCAAGGGGCTTCCTCCCGGGAGGCCATTGGTAAAGTGAACCCCGTCAGTGTTGGGTCACCCAGGCACAGTGACAGCTATTCCAAAACAGAGATGACCACTCCGCCCGCACTCGTAGTATCCAGATGCCAGGGATCGTGGTCCCACAAGCGGGCTCTCAGTGGCCCCTGAAATCTGTGAAAGCTTTTGTGCCTCTTTCTGGAGAAAGTATTCCTGACTTTCACCAGATTCTCCAGAAGGGGGAGTCTATGCATTTTATTGTAAACACTGTTTAAAAACATTATACCCTGTAAGCATTTCTTTAAACAAAATTATCCTTTTATTCTGAGCACCAATATTTTTTACAGGTATTTTTATTTGAATAGAAATAGCCTCGCTAATATGACACAGAGGTTTTACCTGGGTTGTCCTTCCCTTAGAGCAGAGAGACTGTCAGGGGACATCAGTCAAGCTTCCATCCCCCAGTTTTTGTTCCTTCAAATCTAAAATCTATGGGGTCAGGGTGATCTCAAAACCAAGCTCCTTTTTTCTTACATTTTTTTGAGATTTATTTATGTGAGAGCAGTGGTGCGAGTGAGTGGGGGGAGGGGCAGAGGGAGAGAGAGAGAATCTCCAGCAGACTCCCTGCTAAGCATGGAGCCCAACACAGGGCTCGATCTCACGACCCTGAGATCATGACCTGAACCAAAACCAAGAGTCAGAAGCTCAACTGACTGCGCCATCCAGGCAACCCTAGCTCCTTCTTTCTTTAAATTCCAAGTAGAATTCCAAATTCTTTACATTCTTGAGTGGAATAGTAAGGTAGACCAGGGTTATTCATGGAAGCAGATCATAAAGACCTCCTAAGTTTAAACTTTGGACTTACCCTGAGTGCATGGCCAAGTCAGTGCCAGGTCTGAAGTTGGAGTGTCAGAATGGGGTTTGTACTTTAGAAAGAGCCCTCTGACCAACCAGTGGGGTGATTTTGAGGGGCACTCAGGAGGCAGGAGACCAGTTAGGAGGCCAGTGAACCAATCCAGCAGGAAATGGTGAGTGACCTCCCCAATGGGCTTGGCAGAGAAGAGGGACGAGGTGGAGAGACCTGAGAGGGGTTAAAGAGGCAGGGTCCCCGAGACTTTGTGACTGACTACAGAGCCAGAGGGAAAAGGAAGGATGAGAAGGACTTGAAATTGGATGGAAATAAATAGTTCTCTTCCTTCACAAGCTACACAAGAAAGAGATCTGGAGATGCAATCTGTGTTGAATGTAGAGTTAGCCTTTGAACAGCACGGGGTTGCGGGCACTGACCCTACACAGTCGATAGTCTACTAATAACTTTGACTCCCCGAAAACTTAACTACTAAGAGCTTACTGTTGAGGCGCCTGGGTGGCTCAGTCGTTAAGCGTCTGCCTTCGGCTCAGGTCATGATCCCAGGGTGCTGGGATTGAGCCCTGCATCAGGCTCCCTGCTCAGCGGGAAGCCTGCTTCTCCCTCTCCCACTCCCCCTGCTTGTGTTCCCTCTCTCACTGTGTCTCTGTCAAAAAATAAATAAAATCTTAAAAAAAAAAAAAAAGAGCTTACTCTTGACCAGAAGCCTTACTGACAACATCAACCGTCAATTAACACGTGCTTTGTATATGTATTCTGTACTGTATTCTTACAATAAAGTTACAGAAAAGAATGTTTACTCAGAAATCGTAAGAGAAAAATGCACTTACGGTATTTATAAAAAAAAAAAAAATCCACTATAAATGGACCCATGCAATACAAACGCATGTTGTTCAAGGTCAACTGTATTGAATTACCCGTGTGTGGGCACAAGGGGCTTTCCAGGAGGAAAGTGGGTGTATGCATCTGGAAAGAGATCACTGAAGTCAATATTTACTGATCTAGCTAGTCCTATTTTCAGGTTTATACGAAAGAAGAGTGTGTGCGTTGTAGAGCATCGACACTGTCATGGCCTCCTGGGGCCGAGCTGGGCCGGCTAAGGTTCTTCGCACATAAGAGAAGATGTCTATGTGTGCATCTCTGCAGCCTGTAGTCTTGTTTATCTGGCATCCTACGGGGAGAGTCTGAGCCCAGGAGCTTGCTCTGGTCTGAGACAGCCTTTTCTAGGATGAGCAAAACATCAGAGAAAAAAAAACCAACTTCTTCTTAAGGAACTTAATGAACTCCAAGGACTTTAAATTAATTCTCATTAAATCCCCACCAGCTACCATCTCCATTATCCCCTTTATGGAGGAGTTCATTAGGGTGCAGCTTACTTTTTGCCCCAAGCCCCACAACTAAGCAGTGACATAGCTGGGACTTAAACACGGGCCCTGACATTCTGCATGGAGCACTGGGTGTTATGCACAAACAATGAATCATGGAACACTACATCTAAAACTAATGATGTAATGTATGGGGATTAACATAAGAATAAAAAAAAAAAAGAAAGAAAGAAAAACACGGGCCCTGTGCTCTTAACTCTTCCACGGCGCCACAGTTAGCGTCCACTCACCAGCCAACCTGACGCTCATTCCCAGAAATCTGCGACTGTGTTCTAGCTGGCTACAGCCTGGGACCTCCGGGGTTTAGCCCTAATGCTATTAGGAAATTAGCAAGGGGTAAGTCTGTGCATGCTACTTTTTTCTTCAAAGGACACAGTACAATCACTTTAAAGAGGGAAAACAATGTTGTGGTTTTCTAAAGCAGTGTGATCCCCACCAGCGCTACCCAGAACTTGTGACAAATACACATTTTCAGGCCCCTCCCCAGACCCACTGAGTAGGAAACTCTGCAGGTGGGGGCCAGCAATCTGTTCAACAGGCATTCCAGGGCCTTCTGACACTGCTGAAATTTGAGAACCCCCTGCTCATTATGTGTTCAGTTTCTTTTTCAGCGATTTAGATTTTTGGATGACTTTGTTTGGTTTGGGATTTTTAAAAAACAGAACAAGCCATGGTGCGTTGAGGGTGGATTTCCAAAGAGAAGTATGTCTAATACCACTCTTATGTGTGTCTACTGACAGGTCAGCTTGGACTCCCGAGTAAGAGAAGTCATCAACAGGAACATGGTGGAGCCATCCCAACACATATTTGATGATGCACAACTCCAGATCTATACCTTAATGCACAGAGACTCCTATCCCCGGTTCATGAACTCTGCCCTCTACAAAGATCTGCTTCAGTCCTTAGCTGAGAAATCGGTTGAAGCATAGGATGTTATCAAATATATTTATTATTAATAAAATAATAAAAGAACTGATGGACTACATCTAGTACAGGGAACTTAGAGGTAGTAGTACCTTCTGCTAGAGTAATACTTGGGCTGTTTTAGTAAACAGATGCTTGCTTTTACAGAAGACTATATATTCACAATGTAAACAGTGGCCACCTGTAGTGATACTTTTGAAAAAAAAAAACAGGGTATGGCTGTCTTAGAAAAAGATAGGATATTTACATTTACGGTCACCGGAGCATGTTGTCAATGGCAAAGGACACTCTAGAAGACTCTACTGCCTGGGGCGTGCACGTCCTCTGGAGCCAACCAGACCGCCTTTGTTTTGCATGAGTGCAGTTATCTGATGACTCTCCTCCCAAGGAAAAGGCGTTCAAGTGTTTCTTAGCTACTCCTTCCTTCCGTCCAGCTGTTTTGAGTATTTTGCTTCTCAGTGCCACCACAGGACCCAAATTCCCATTTTATAAAGATGTGTCACCACTACTCATAAAAATGGAATTTCACTTTTATCTTAGAATCCGTGTATGTATGTGCACGTGTGTCTGTAACGGTTAATGAAAGTCCTGTGCTCTTAAGTGGATCGGTCGCACCTGTTTGGTAAGAGAAGTAGTGTTTAGAAAATTCTTTTGTTGAAAAGTTAGCATGATTTTATTATCAGAATCTGCCAACCTAAAGAATGAATTTTTAATTCACAACTTAGTCGCGTTCGTAACAGAACTTTCAAATGAGCATATTTCCATTTTTATTATTCAAAGAAATATGGGCATTTTCAGTCTAAAAAAATAAAGCACAAGAGTTTTATCTCCATTTTTATTCCACATGTTAAATATTGGGGACTATAAGATGAAGTAAGTAGGGAGATATGCAAGGTATCATTTTAGCTCCCAGACTAGGATTCTGATTTTAGATCCCACTATTTTTTTTTAAAGATTTTATTCATTCGTCAGAGAGAAAGAGAGAGAACACACGCACAGGCAGAGGGAGAAGCAGGCTCCCCGCGAGCAACGAGCCTGATGTGGGACTCAATCCCAGAACCCCAGGATCATGACCAGAGCCGAAGGCAGACGCCCAACCGACTAAGCCACCCAGGCGTCCCTAGATCCCACTATTTTTAATTGTAGGCAAACGGAATAACTTTAACAGCTTCCAGGTAAAACTAGTGGTTTGTATCCCTGAGTCATCCTGAAGAAACCCATCACTGCAGTGAATGGGAAAGACATCCAAAATCTGGAACGGTTTGAGTAGTAGGTTAGAAATTACATGCAAGGGGTCCACAGCAGGCTTCACCCTATTGGGGGGGGCCTCTTTCCTCCTGGTTACCCTCACCTGGCCTGACGATTACTTCATTACTCTCTTCAAGCCCCAGACTAAGCCCCTTGCCCTCATTCTCAGTGAAACATCTTACTTCCTACTTTATGGTGAAAATGGATCCCCACCAGCTTCATCTTCCCATGTAAACTACAAATATGTCTGGATGGGCATCTGTTCTCACCTCCATCAGTCCAGTCCCAGGGAATAATGTGCTCTTTCCTCCTTTTCAAGGCATCAACCCCTTACATGTGCTTTTAATGCCATAGTCTACAGCTCATTTTTTCACTAGACAGAGGACATAATTGTGATTGAGGTTATAAACTCTGCCCTCTGGTTTACATTTAAGTAAGGATGACAGGTGTCCATGGCCGCTACAGTATACTTAGCAAGTACTGTAACAGGGAGGAACTGAGCCAGAGAGGTCTTGAGGGGCTA